TCGCGCACGACAAACGTTCCATCCGGGTACGGATCTCAGTCACAGCCGCGTCTTCATCGTCTTGTTTCTTCTCTTTCGCCTGAGTGTCTTCATCTGCGTCTCCTTGCCGTGTAGATGGTTCATCCGCTCCGGGCACATCCGCTTCTTCTCCTTTCTCACGCATGATCAATGCCTTGTGCTTATCACCCAGCTCATTCAGCTGACATTTGCCAGCCAATCGATGCAATGGCAAATCGGGAACTGCTTGCGGACCGGCAGCGGAATCGGTGGACAGATGCTGCTGTTTCATCACTTCGGACATGTCGATCTGAAGTGTCTGTTTCTCAGACATCACGTCACATTCCAGAGTGACATGCCCGGTCAAGGTGGCCCCGTCGACTGTGATCCAAGGTGTGCGTGTGTGTGTAACATAGCAATGGAATATGAAATGGTGAAAATCAAACGAACTAATTGAACACAGAACTGTTTACAATCTGCACATTGATCACATAACACTGAGCGGAATAAGTGTAGCAGGTGAGTCAAGAGAAACGGGCGCTCACGACAGCGAGATTGCGATGCAATTGACTAATAGCCAGTCAGTAAACCAGCGGCCCTGTTGATCGATGCATAACAGAATCAGAGTTAAGACGATCGCGTTATTTTTGTGACATGTTTCACCAGCAAATAAGTTCCCCTAACTAAACGTTTCATGAACAAATTACCCTCAGAAAAGATATCTGCAAAAAGCAACGCGTATCATGCCTAGTCATGGTAGTAAGAATGAAAGATAGATCCAACCGTTGATGACAAGCAACGAGATTCCACAAGTTCACAGACCACATTTCGAGCTGTCAGTTGTTACGAGCATGCTGAGGACCATACACAATTTTGCTATAAACCGAATGGATCATCCTCATCTTTACGGTGACCAAAGGTGGATGCAGAACACCTCGACCCGAAGGAAATTTCGTCCGAACACGAAAATCAGTGGAATACGCTTGGGAATTCGAAGTGGCGAACGGTGAAACGCTTGCGGTGTTTACCTGATCAATGGTAAGTCACAATGATCTTTCGTTATACTTATCGATTCATATAGCGGAAAGAACATGAATGTATGCCAATAATGAGATGAACAGTTAAGTGTCTCTTTCAGCCGAATACTCCGCAGAAGACGCGGTGGAAATGAGAACTGGGAAACTCCTCGTGAAAACTGGCTGACATCCACATCCTTAGTTCCAAAAGATGAAGGGCCTGAGAAAATTTCTCAGCCACAAGAGTCAGTGTGAAGAAGCCGTTTTCATTTCACCTATGGTTGTTCCTTATATCGATCATTTAATTTACTAAAACCCTAACACAATCGGGACCCAAGTGAGTCGTGGATGTGCACCAGAGTCCGGTTTATTCATTGCTATGAAACAGTGAGAAAAAACGACAACAACGACGGGAGGATCCAAAAGAAAGGATCACATATCAATGCACTAGTGTGTGTGTGTGAGTCGGGAGGCGAGATCAAACACGAGAGAGAGAGTGCGCTAGTGGGGGGGGGCGGTAACCGATTGTAAGCACACACACACCGGTGTGGCAATAAAACAACATGGCAGCCATGATGACAATGATGAATGACTAAACAGTGACAAAGGCGCCAGTCAAAACTAAACAAAACCCACAATCTATGTGAACAGTTGAGACGCCCACGCAGATCGAACAGTTGATGTAATCCAAATATGGCGCAGCTTATTGTTGTTCTTTTTATTCGGTCCGGCAACGCGTGGAGACACAACTGGTTCACATTAAATTCCTCTGGAGCTAACACGGTACTACTGTATCACGATCGTTCACAGAAGGGGCTTTGTCACAGTTCATCGTCTCTACAAGGCTAAACTAATGAGCCGCCGGTATGTACAACCACTTTGGAGCCCCAAACAATGAATCAAAAGTGACATTCACGAACATGTCAAAACTATGGTTAAGTGATAATTCTATATTTATCACCCATCTTTACAGATATGGTGCCTAAAATAAGATATCTGGAGCAAAGATAAGATTAATTTTTGTCGACAGCGAAGTGCGGTTTGCGACAATCAATCTTAATCCCTGTGGGGTCTTTGAACATTGATTAAGTTGAACTGAAGCGACCCAACAGACTGAGCTGAATAGGTTCAACATGACGAAATTCAACGGTTTTCGGATACTCGATACTCCACCTACTCCCACGATGCCTATCCGTTTGTTCCACCACATCAATTCAATCTGGCGTAGGTTAACGTGTCCAAACATCCATGGTCTGTATCCATCTTCAATACCTGTTTCTGTACTATTCCGACAGCAGCTGCAAAATGGTCTACCCATCGAAGCCAAAAACGCATTGAACAGATAAAATCCGAACTGCTAACATTTCAGCCCAAATTCATACGCAAGACGAAATGGAGCTGCCTAGGCAGCAAAACTCAACAACCCTTTTCAGTGACCTAGCACACATCGACTTCAACACAGGCTACATTTTTTAAAGCTAATCTTGAACCGGTATAGCCACTGAAAAAGGCGACTCGTTAACACGAGAACGAAACGAGTGTTGATGGCGAACCACGCCGATCCAAGTCCAGTTCGGCGGGTTTGATCATACAGTTGTCTTTGGTAGAAAACAGGACAAGATCCTGTGCAAATCATCTATGCATCTAACTACATGGATGAGATGCTCATTCGGATGAACCAACGTATATAATTAGTCAAAGACAGATTGTGTGTGTGTGTGTGTGTGTGTGTGTGTGTGTGTGGCAAAGTTTGGTCGATGCGGCAACAGTCCTGTCCAGAAGTACGCGTGTACACGTGGCCGAGAGGGAGCAGGGGACGAGGGGGACCGCGACAGAGAGAACTAACTGACTTACCCGGTTTGAACAGACCATAAACCGTGGTAAAACGGCCATTGAAAATCGGGGGAATTTCTTCAGGTACGGGGATAATCTCAACCGGATGCTGAGTTCCGTCATCCCTCCGGGCAGTTATATCCCATTTGACTTGTACGTTTTGCGCACGCGGTTGCAAAGCCGCATTCAAGATTTTCATTGTGGCCGCTCTTAACTCGTTGCTACGGGATAGAACACGTGAAACAACAGTAGGTATTCATGTCGATATTAAGGAATGGCACGGATGAAAGAATAGAGCAAGAAGTAATTGATATGCAACAGAAAAGATTTCGCTAAGCTAACTCTCCAGAGCGCATCAAAAACCTAATTATTAGGATTCATTACGAAATGAGGCGCAACTATATGGTGTAACTAGCATAATACAAAACCAATACGATAAACGAAGAAACAGAAAGGATTTTGACCGAAGATTGCGCGAAGATGCCGTTAATCCAATTCAGTGCATACATAGGGACCAACTTAAACCCTCTGCTAGACAGTAGAAGTGAGATACTCGGGGCTTTCTCTCTCTCTCGATAGTGGACAAATTCTTTGCACTTCACGGGACGACTGCGGCCAGCCCAATCTGGGTATCCCGTAGCCAGTAGGTTGGTGCTTCATCCACATTTGGTGGTTTTCACTGAGTGCATGAGACTCTAGTTGATCACTAGTGATGGATTGATAACAAAAGAACCAGTGGACGAAAATATGTCAGCTCTTGGAAAACCCCGAAGGATGGTTGGGTCGTCCTCGCGTGGGATTCAGATCGCATTATCTTGGGGCTGAACTGCTGATTCAAAAGTTCACATTACTCTTCCTCCGGAAAACCCACTTGTCGGTATCAGTTATGCATTTGGAAGACACACCAGATACTTTCTATCTCCGTGTTGTTTCAGTTTTCAGTTTGGACAACCCTGCACTTTTGTGTGCCGGTTTTGCTTCCTGTCTTTTGGCTGCCTTTAGGATGAACAGTGGGAGAAAGACAGGGATGATGTAAGCACAGTCAAATAGAAAATGGAGAATTTCAGTGAACTAATGTTGCAAACAAATTGAGAAGATGCACTGTTAATGACTCGCAGCCATATCGCTTGGTGTGTCTAATCATAAGGTACAATCATCCCGAGGTCCCCAGTCAGTGAGCCTGACGGGGAGGAGTCACCCGGTTAGGATTTTCATACCCTTACGCCACGTCTTAGTTTCATCATCCTTGGCTTTTTCCAACCCACTACCTGCCTCGGCGAATATCGCTCACCGTGGCAACCTATCTGGTGACATGCGTAACACATGCCCCAAACAACGTAGTCTATGGAGGTCAACCAGTGGGTGACCGCAGCTACCGAAAACTATGCGCCTAACCTGACCATTGCTCATCCGGCTGCCCCACCAGATTCGTGCAATGCTACGTAGACAGTGGTGTTCACACACCGACAATCTATCTATCTTTATCCTGTTCAGGGTTTTATCACTCAGATTTTGGCTAATAAGGGAAGCAAAGCCGACGTCCAAATTGTGCTGTCTAGAGCTCAGCGGACGCTTTTTCACTGGATCCCAATCAGCAGTTGATTGGATATTCCGTATGACTTGATGGTTCGGTGAGAATCAACAGTCCCTGCATGCGCCGAACAATTGGACAATGAACGTTCTCACTAGCAGCAAACTATTCACTCAACGGACAGCGTAGTTGTCACCAATGATTCTAGCCCTCAAGTGGAATCTTTAGACGGATCAGAAAGGTGACCGGGCTTCTCACATGCAATCCCATCCAACTGAACGGAGATCGCCTACTGCAACTCTGCGCAGATCATAGTGTGTTCCTATCAATCATTAACTTCTGCGGCATTCCTTTACTACGCAGCGAACCCGATAGAGAATCACGATCAGCTGAATCGAAGGCTTCGTTTAGGTCAGAGAACATTCCGATTGCTGACAGACGGTGTGCGTGTGTGTGTGTGTGTGACGTAATTTGAGGACCTGACGAAGCGTGAATATGTGGTCGAGGTGACCACTACCTGGTCGGAATCCTACATGCTGTTCACGAATATTCAAAGTGTCCGCAACGAATGAAAACGAATGACTAAGATGCTTAGTGGATACCGGTGGAAACATCGCAAAAAGATAAAAGAGGGACTCTTCGCAACGGTGCGCCAGACGTGTGCATACCAGTTATGCACTTTTCTAACGCAGTGATCGAAAAATAATCGGATTTGTCGGATTCAATTAGATGAAATGAATTCGCACGAACTGGTTTCATTCTCCCTCAAGAGACATGACCACAAGCTGATATTTATGACGAACTTATAACTTTATCTTAATTACACGCCAGTGTGTGATGAAAAGCAGACGGGGCGGATCCTGCAGGCACGAAGACCTACTGTTCTGTGACGCTAAACGGAACCTAGGCCCCGGAACTTAGAGTGGCGAACCACAAAAGGTCCCGACGCTACCAGATTAATTGGTCCGGTTAGAACTGGATTTGTGGAGAACAAGTGATTACGTATATTTTGCAAATAATCACAGTTTGCAAAAAAACATTGAAACCGATATTCTCCCGTTCATATACGTAGCTCCCTGCTCCGAAGTTTGCAGAAAAACTTGAGCCACTGTTGTTCCATAATGCTTGGCAACGTTCACAGTTCGGTATCATGCATCGTAGCGAACTTTTTTCGAATTACTTTATTCTCGAAAATTTTCGTACCTTGTTTGTGGGGAGCTTGTTCGTTTTTGAGACGAATTTATTAACATCGCTCGGATGAGAAAAGATAATGCACTCGCCAATTAGAATTAACACTCAGTTAGAATTGGCTATCGAAAAAATAATCACTATTCTTGTGTGTCGTGCTGGTTACTTGTTGCCTGTCTAGCGCTGCCTGGTCCTATGACATATGTATGACCGGGATGATGCTTACGGTGATGCGGTCCCTGTGTGTGAAAAGCCCAAGCCGAGACTGGTTATGTGTTGGGGACCTCGGGATCAGTCTATCCCTCTTGGCTCTCTACTCTATAATCCGAATGGATGGTCAAAAGATATCAACCGAAACCGTTGCACGAATTCACAAGGGTTGCCTGAACTGAACTGTGCATAGCAAAACTCACTTGTCCCGTATAAAGGTGGACACACCACGACCCACGCGGGCCACTCCCTCAACCAAATAGGTACTGGCTCCCATCCCGATTCCGAGCGTGTACACACAAGCCTGTTTCACATTGGATGCCACCAATCCCACGACCTGATTGAAAGATGAAACAGAGACAAACGAAGAACAGAAAACGGAGGAAAATAAAATGGCATGCAGAACTCAAGGTGTCCGAGGTTGGGCCAGGTAAAGACACGGTATTGTTTGGGCGCTATCCGGTCACTGGCGGATTGCACTTCAGCCCCCGGTTTGAACACTGTTTCCGATTTGGCTGATCTGACAATGCCAAATGACGATTGTATTGGCCAAAAAACATTAGTCCTTCATCTGAATGTCTTAACCGATTACAAGAACAAACCAGACACGTTTTTGATTCTGAGTTACAAAGTGTGAATTACAGTTAACCCAGGATAGCATCAGTTACACTGTATCTATAGTGTAATCTGCATAATGAAAGAGAATACGGGGATATCTCAACGAGTTAATCCGAGGATGGGAATCCAGTCGTTTTGAGAACGCTTCATTACGACCCAGTCCTCACAATTTGGCTGAAAATTTCACCATAGCTTAATGAGCAGCGAGTACACTAACGGGAAGTAAGGCGCATCTCGCTTTGTACATCTCATCCGATTTATGAATGAAGAAGCTAGACGGTCGTTATCGATAAAAAATGATTCGATAGTTGATGTCTTAATCCCAGTCTGTTAGTGAAACTGGAGACCCATACCATGCTTGAATCCACGTTTGGTGAGATTCACACGGAAAAAGGAGAAATTCCGATGAATTTGGGAATTCAACGCATACAGAGCAAACAGAAGGGGAGTTGAAAATCTGCAAGCATTGCGCGGCCGTCTTAACATTGCTGGATGTCAATAGATGTGCAGATGCGTTGAACAAGAAACTAATCGACTCTAAAAGCCAAGTTAGTCTCAATTCACTGCATCGTGAACAATCAATACAGTGTTTGTGATAAGATAATGTACACTGCAAATTTCCCAGTTGTCTTCAAGCCATTAGCTGATGTCTAAAAACCCAAACCAGCACGGAGAGATTATTAGGCACGGATGTTCAAGAATGAGCCGCCGTTCCTTCCGAAACAAGATTAAACACTGGGTGGATCAGCCAACTAGACATGTTGATGTTCGAATTGATGTCCGCATTGCATGTTGGCACGCAAAGATTTCCTCATAAGGCTGATGTGATGCGGCTATCTGGCTGGACTGAATCACCTTCAATCTGCTTTGCATAGGAAAAGAATACACTGGGGCGGTCCCTGTTTGAGTCAATTGTGTTGCACAATGCTTTTAGTGGTGTAATTTCACCATTCACACTGACGAGAATGGTAAATGTGATATGCCTGTGAAAGCTTCAGCATTGTCAAAGTGGGCGTCTTGAATTGTGGCTGGTCGCCCTTCCGTCTCATCTAAAGAAATGCTCTCATAGGACAAAGTGTGTCA